CCCGGCCTTGAGAGGTGGCAAACCTGTGTTCCCAGGTGACTCTGGCTGGAGGGGAGGGCACCCCAGGCCTGGGAGCGGGAGGGCCCTGGGCCTGTCTGTAACTGTCCGCTGGCCCCACCCGCCAGTTCCAGGCGCTTCCCCTGGTGGTCAACTTGCACAGGCATGTTGGCCCCCAGGAACTAGGCGCCCAGAGCACATGCTGAGGACGCCGAGCCTTCCTGAGTCCAGGAGCTTTGGGGTGTGAACCCGCTGGGGCCTGACTGGGAAAGTGAAAGCTTGCCTTTCATCCTCCCGCCCTCAGCCCATGGGGTGCAGGATTCCCAGGAGTGGCCTGAGCTGGCGCCAAATACGCTCTTATCTGGCCCTGGCCCGGGTTGGAGGGCAGTTCCCAGGCCTAGGCGAAAACAAACGGCCTCCCCGGGCCCCAGGATATGCCATGTGGCAGGTGGGTGTGCGGCCTTGCCAAGGGCGAAGTACCCTGTTCCTTCACAGGAGACCCAGGTCCTTTATGTCTCGCAGCCACGTCCTGGAGGCCTGCCAGGGGGCCTGAGAGCTGAGGCTGCCGGGCCAGGAGCTTCCAGGGCAGGTGCTCAGAGAGAAGGAAGCGAGTTGGCCCCAGGCAACTCTCCGCCCAACCAGGAAACCTCCGAAGCCAGGCTCCTGGGACTGAGGAGAACGGGGAGACTGTGAGCCAGGGAGGGGGCCTGTGGAGAGAAGAGCTAGTCACTCTCTGGCCATCTTGGCCTCTTGTTTGGGTTTAGGGCCAAAATCCTTTCACACCCATCGCCCCAGGCCCTGCTCAGCTGGCCTGGCCTGCCCCCACCCCACCCTCGCCTCTAGGCTTTGACCCAATGGAGACCCCACAGGTGGGCAGGCCCGAGGACTGCCCCATCAGGTCACCTGCTGGGTGGAACCCTAGGGACCTTTGACTGGTTAAGCGGAACACAGGTGGCTCACAGGGACTAGTGATGTGGGGCTGGAGGCTGGTATAAAGGGGGCCCCAGCAAGTGGAGTTTCTATCTTGGTTTCAGGCGTGTTTTAGTTCTATTTTTACAGAATCTAAAGCCGCCCGAACTCGCCTGGGGCTGTTTCTTACCCTTGAAAATGCCCAGGTGCCCTCCGGAGTCTCTTCCACGACTGTTTTGAAACCTGACTGGCTTTCCTTGACGCCACTGCAGATTATGACAGGGAGGGCCGGAGCGGTTAGAAGTCAATGGGTGGCCCCCTGCTCTGAGGTGGCCAGACCTGGCCCAGCTCTGTTAAGCACAGGTTGTCAGGCAGCCATGCCATCCCGAACCGGTACCTCTGGCACCCCCTTGTGGCCTTGACAAGTGCAGCAGCTCCCGGGGGTGGAGGGATGGCGTGGAGGGCAGGACACAGGAGGCCTCAAACTCAGCAGAGGGGTGCTGTCCAGCCACGAGGAGCTGGATCCAAAACTAATTTACTCAAAACTGGCTCCAAAGAAGAGAAAGGGGAGCAAGGATTCTCGCCCATTGTCCAAGCCTCCTGTCCAACAGGGCCACCCTCATTCATTTCCTAACCTCTCAGGGCCACACCCAGCCAGCCTGCTTCCACAGGATGACAGACAGAGGACTGAGCTGCCCTGTCGCTCCCACACTGGATGGGACAGAAGCTGCAGGTGGCCTCCTGGCAGCTCACCTCCACACAGGCTACGGGCAGTGAGGAACGGAAAGCTGGCCGTGCAGTGCACTTTACTCGGGCCAGGGCCTCGGCCCCAGAGTGGCACCGCTGGCTTTCCAGGAAAAGGGAAGTCCGGCCTGTTCACCAGGCCACCCCCACCCCCCATCGTCATCTCCAGCTCTGCCTCTACCCGGCCTCTTCCTGTGTATTCCTGCCGTCCACCCCAGGTTCTCAGAGTCTAAGTCAGGTTTGGCCGGGAGGAGGGGCTCCCTGGAGTCGCTCAGCCCCACTGCCAGCCTGGGGGAGGCCAAGGCAAGTCCTGCCCCGCGTGTGAAGGGCCCTGAAAGGAGATCCCCAGCCTGGAGAGGGGCCGCCCGGTCCGTTCACTTCCTGGTGCAGGGCTCTCAGCCGGGCTCCTAGGACCCATCTCTATAGGGCTTCTCTTCCACGTGGCTGGTCTGCTCCAGAAGCCACTGCCGCTCCGGCTCACTCATCGTCAGTCTGAGTGTCACCTCCTGGAAGACACTGCTCACGGCCACCTAGGACAGCCAGGCAGATCAGGGCTGGCTAAGCTACAGCCACAGGTTCTAGCACCAGCAGGCCCCACCACCCAGACCCAGGCTTCACCTCCGGCCAGCCTCATCCTTACCTGCTCAAAGTGAAGTTTCTGGAACATCCGGATGCTCGGTTCATTTCCTTGCCCAATTTTAGCCTCAAACTTGGTCAGACCTAGCTTGGTCACTCCTCCCAGAGGAGATGAGAAAGGGACAAGCTGCAGGAGGAAGGGCCCTCCAACACCCTCCGCCGCCCCCCCCCGCCCCCCGCCCCGTCCCAGTGTGCAGTGCAGGCACCTGTCTCCCGTCTGCCCCACTGCCCCGCCTGCACCCTCAGACCTGAAGAAGGCTCACTCCCAACATGCACTACCCTCGCCTGGGGCCTGGCCAGCTCTCCCCACACCGTCTGCTCTGACTTCCTTACCATAGGACATCATCATGAGCGCCGCCTCGGTGCCAAAGCCCTTGCCCCTGCAGCTGGGCTCTAGGAGAAAACCACAATCATGGACATCATGTGCCAGGCACAACACATACGATCTCATTTAATCCTCACAATTCTACCAAGTCCGTAAATATTATTAGCATTCTGCAGATGAGGGACAGAGGCACACAGAAGGGAAATGACTAGCCCAAGGTCTCGGTGTGGAGACACCCAGCAACCTGACCCCAAAAGCTGCCCCTTTAACCTCAACGTACTGCCTTATGAGGAGTCGCACAGCCTCTTAGGAGAAGGCTAAGGACCAAGAAGGACACAGAAACTGGAGGGGCTCCTGCCACAGCCTGGGAAGATGCTCCAGGGAAGATCAACTATTTTAAAGGTTCCCCCAGACCACCCCCAAAATAGGGCAGAGTGAAGTTCGAAGACCCTAAATCCAAAGGTTGAGTTCACACCTACGCATAAGACATGAACAGAGTGACCCGCAGGCTAACAGGGTGCCAAGTGGCAGCCTGCCCCAGCCACGTGCTGGGCTCCCCAATGCCAGCGCCTCCCATCGAGCCCCTGGAGGTCCTTATGCAGCCTCAGCTGCCTTAAGGTTCAGCAGATCCAAGGCCCAGAAGGGAGGAAACGAACCTGCAATCATGACCTCAATCTCCCCCAAGGAGGGGTCCCCTAGATCTGTGAGGAAGAGGTTCACATCCCCCGCCATGCAGCTCTCTTCGGTGGTGCCTGGCTGGGCCTGCCACTTCGCTGCATCCAGCACAATGAAGGTACACTCTAAGGAGGGAGGCCGCAGGGTTATCATCTACACGCCCAGTGAGGCCAGTCTTCCTACCCGAGCCAGAGAACTAGCAGCGTCCCTGAGTCTGGCAGGAGAAGGGGGGCCAGAGCTTCCTGCGGCTGATTAAAAAGCCCTAAATCTGCCTCTTGCAGGAAATGATGGCCTTCTCCAAGCAGCAAGTGTATTTTCAGACTGCAGGGGGCTCAAAGAAGAGCAGTAACCACACTGGGCTTGCAGCTAAGGATGTGCGGGGCAGGGCCTCAATTACAACCACAGCCCAAAATACTTCCTTTAAATCCTTCCAAGCCAGGCCCAGGGAGTGGGGAGAGGACAAAAGTGTCCGCCACAGGGACCAGCTTCAGCGGGCATCAGAGTGTGAGGATTGCAAGCACCTTCCAGGCTTTTCACGGGTTTCTATGCCATGAAGGGCTACAGCTGGGGAAGAATGGGAGGGACCCTGGAGGCTGCCTCTGGAGTCAGCCCTCCCACTGCCACCCCAGGGTCGCGCTTCTCACTGTCCGCATCTTCCCGCCAGCTGCGCTGCATCGCATACTCCTGCTCCAGGGTCAGCGGCTCGGAGGCTGTCAAACGCTGCAGCTCCTCTGATTTCATCCACTCGTGGTACCTGCAGGGACAGGGGCGGCCTTCAGCAGGCAGGACTGATTCAGGGGCATTGGGTCTGACACTGAGATGAAGAAACAGGTGGTAGAAAGGAGAACCCCATAGGGCTAACTCAAGGGTGCAGAGAAGACCCAAGAAAAGGGTATAGTTGCTCCTAAGGCAGAGGGCCACAGGCACAAGACCTAGAGGCAGGCTAGACCCACAAGAGAACAGCAGGAGGGGTCAGTTCTGTCTGTCCAGTTTCCCATCCTGTCTCTGGGGTCAGTGTGGGGGAGTGGTATAAAGCCAAACATTCCTGAGGGGGAGAATATGGCAAGCTGACCGCTGCAAAGAAGGCTGGACAGATCTCCGCAAGGAAACCCCAAACAGAAAACTACAAGTAGAGACCACACCCCTACACCACCACCATTCCAGTCTACCAGACTTTGCCAACTGCCCCCCAAAGAGTCCCACCCTGCAACTCAGCCCCGCCTTTCAAAACAGGAGACATCAAACCACCCCCTCAGCTCAGTTTATGACAAGCTGACTTAAGTCTCCACGAACAGAATATTCACCGGCACCAAAGGAATGTCGCTACTTTACAATCAGGTGAGAAGACAATTTTTTTCTTACATTTAGTGAACATTAACTAATTCCTTGCTGAGGCCAAAAGCTGAGAGGGCGGAAGGGAACAGCGGGGATGGATGACTTCTTCCAGGGAAGTCAGAGCCCTCTGCTTCGCTGTTCACTTTTTCCTGCAGGTAATCACTTCTCACACCCATGCTTCTCCTCCGAGGAAAGAGCCTCTGACATTTGGGCTGCGCCTCGGAGAGCCGCCTGGCACCCATGTCAGGTGGCACGGTTACCTGGGCACATGCTCTGCGGTGTAGGGTACCAGCACCACCTTCTTCCCCAGGAGCGAGACGTTCTGGTTTAACCTCATGGTCGCAGCCTGAGGGTGGGGAACGCACAGCCTTCAGGACCCTGAGTTTCCTCCCACGTAGGGTGGGAGCCCAGGCTCTCAACTCGCTAAATGCCTCCAGGGGCCGAGGTGTCAGGAGAGCCTTCCCTTCGAAAGACTGCAGAGAACAGGGGCTCTAAACCCCTTGCGAGAAAGGCGGCCGGTTTGGCTGCAGATGGTGAGACAATCCTTGACTCGCGCCTTAAAGAGCCAAGACTGAGCTGCCATGCCTACGGGTTCCTCCCGCCCCACCTCCCAGAACTTCGAAGCCTCCAACCCAAAGCTCCCATCGCTAGCCCAGTCCTGAGACCCCGCCCCAGCCCGGTCCTTAAACCTCCTTCCAATCACCCCACTGGCCTCCGGCCTCCGTCTCCCACTTCCCACGCCAGGTCACCAGGCCACGTCAGGATAGGCGAACTCACGTTCTCAGCCCCCTCCCCTAGGTGCGGGGCTACAGGCTACTCCCCTGTACCCTCACCCCGGACCCCAGCCACCGGGGTCCCCGGGCGGCCAAGTTCACACCCACTTCCCCCGACGAAGGCGTCCCTAGAAGAACCGGGGAGCCGCCTCTTGCAACTAGCCCCGCTTCCCCACCCGGCCGACGGGCGCCCCTCCAGCTCACGCTGGGCGCATACCCCGCCCACTTCCGCCACGCAGACGGCAGCCGCCGGGGCCCAATCCCGGTCCCGCCCCCACGAGGCGCCCAATCAGCGCGCCGCACCCCGCCCGAGGCGCGCGCCGGCCAGGTGGGCGCCCGGCGCGGGCGCATGCGCGCTGAGGGCGCTGGTGCGGGACAGCTGGCGCCGGCAGCTGCCCGGGGGCTGGAGGCGGCGGCCGCGGCGGCCCGGGGCGCGCCTCGCTGCAGGTAAGGGGCCGCGCGCGATGATGGGTGGGCTGGGGCGGCGCAGATTCCGGTTCTCTCTGGAGGGAGGGAGAAGTCGGGGAGAGGCTCGGAGCTGGGGCTCTTGAGAAGAGGGGGAGGCTTGAAAGTGGGGAGCCCTACGCCGGGAGGGCAGAGAGCAGGTTAGGGGTTCAGGAAGTGGAGGCCCCATTAAAAAGGCGAGGCTTTGGGGCAAGAAGTTGGGTTGGAGGGCGACCTGGGAAAGCCCCCGGCCCCTCGTCCTAGGCGGAGAGGCGGACAGTGACTTGGGCTGCCCTGTGCGGTAGTGAGCTCGCTGTCCCTGCATTCAACGGGGAGCAAGCGTCCCACAGTGTGGCAAGGGGGCGCTTGTGGTGCCTGAGGCTTCGTGGCTTCCAAGGCCTCTTATATGACTCGGGGTCTGAGCGGCAAGGAAACTCCAGCCAGGTGGGCGTCATCCCGGGAGACCTCCCCCCGGCCGCCTTGTCACAGACGTGGACACCATGAGCGTCTGTGATAAAGGACCGGGGCGCCGGGTGCGGGGGCGTCTGCAGACCTGCCGCCACCTCCGTCGAGGCCCGTCCAGGTCCATCCGAAAGCTGACGTCTGCTCTTTGCCTTAGGGAGCCGCAGCAGCCGCCGCCCCCGCGAGGAAGAACGCCCCGCCCCGCCGGCGCGCCCTTCCTCACTTTTGGAAATGGCGGGTGAAATCACGGAGACCGGGGAGCTCTATTCTCCCTACGTGAGTTTTACTTTTAGAACCTGTTTTGCCCACATGAGTTGCCCTGGCTTCTGAGCAGCCCTCTGCTCGCAGTGGCCTGGCCTGGCCCGAGCCCCCGCGTGCCTGGACCCTGGGGAGAGCCGGGTGGGGGACCTCCAGCAGCAGCCTTGTGTGGCTCAGTGTTATGAGACTCAGGTTTGTTCACTTTTTTAAAAATATATTTTCATTGATTTCATAGAGGGAGAGAGAAATAGAAACATCAGTGATGAGAGAGAATCATTGCTTGGCATGCACGCCCCCTACTGGGGATCAAGCCCATAACCCAGGCGTGTGCCCTTGATCAGAATCAACCCAGGACCCTTCTGTCTGCAGGCTGCCGCTCTATCCATTGAGCCAAACCAGCAAAAGCAGGTTTGTTCACCTTTTACATGTTGATCAGAGAGCGGTCAAGAAAACTAAATTGACTTGCCAACTCTGTACCTCAGGGCCGCTACCCCCTGCACACTGTGCTGCCTGTCCTTCAAATGGACAGTGATTGACAGCTGCGGCCTGGGTTTTGCTCATGTCAGCAGTTTGAAACGCCTTGGGTTTTTAGCTGAATTTTAAGTTGCACAACTTTTGCAGTCTGGGATGGCGTAAGAGGCAGAGGAAGCACGCAGACACTTCAGTTGCAGTTTGGTGGAGTCAGTAATTAGAACAACTGGAATGATTGATTTCTCCGAACTTGGGATTGTGTTACCCCCTACTCCCCCCCCCACCCCCACCCCCGCCCACACACACACACACACACACACACACTCAGTTTATCTTCTTTGTGTGATGTAAGATTGGCCATGTTTACATCATGGAGTGCTCTTGCCTGGATAAGTAGCTGGAGGGAGGGAATAATCAAAGGACTGACTCACGTTGCTACCAGGTATCCAGGGAAAGCAGCACCGTCTTAAGCAGCAAGAGTCCTCTTTCTAGAACTTGCCCAGCCTTTAACAGCCGCCCTGCTTTGCACTGACCTTCCCGGCCCGGGATGCCTGCTCTGTTCCCGTTAGCGTCCCAGCCTCTACGGCTGTGGTGTGATGGTCGAGGAGGTGCCTCTGAGAACAGCAGGGTCTTTCCGCCGGGCATGGGCCATCCGTGTGCAGCACGGGAGGAGCCTTCTTTACCTCAGCAATGTGCGGGGGAGGGGGGCATCTTTCTTGAACTGAATCGCGTCCCTCTCATCTGAGCAGTTGTGTCACAGCACACATCCTCCTTTTGGTACCAGCAGGGTAAGGTCCACAGTGTCCATCAAAGTCCCTGGGGTTCCTGCTGCTGCTCAGAACATCTGAGAGCTTAGAGCTGAGTCACTTCTGCGACTGAGTTTGAGGAAGGAAAAAACTTTGATGTGCCCGCTTTTCTTGTGCCTCCAGCTGAAATGTAATCATTTCACACGTCAGCATGTGCCCACAGGCAACAGGGCAGTGAACCCTAAAGGCCTCGGTGGCTTCTGCTTTTTTTAAAAAACATGTTTTTATTGATTTTCAAGAAAGAGGAAGGGAGAGGCATAGATGGAAACATCGATGAGAGAGAAACGTACATCCAGTGGTTGCCTCCTGCACGTCCCCTCCTGGGGATCGAACCCATAACCTGGGCGTGTGCCCTGACCAGGAATCAACAGGTGACCTCTTGGTGCATGGAACGACACTCAACCACTGAGCAACACCAGCTGGGCTGTTTTTTTCTATTTTTTATCCTTCATTTCCTATGTGTTCGGGGTTTTTTGAGGGCCTGCTCTGGGCATTTGCCATCAACTACTGCATGTATTCTCTTCTCCTGCCAGTAAGGAGAGAGGGCCTGTGTTGAGGATGAGGTGGCATTACCAGGACTTAGTGGTCAGGGTATGAGGAGCGAGCATGCCTTCTTGCTGAGGTCTCCTTCACCCCGTCATCCTGGGAGAATAGTTCTTGATCCGCTGTGAGAGCAGGGTCTGGGCTCAGTGGATAACGAACCTTACAGAAGGGTGTAGGGGACAAAGCTCCAGCCACCTGGACCACACCGGCCAGGGCAAGGGTTGCTTCTTATAAAAGTGATAGATAGAGCCCTAGCCGGTTTGGCTCAGTGGATAGAGCATCAGCCTGTGGACTGAAGGGTCCCAGGTTTGATTCCGGTCAAGGGCACATGCCCTGGTTGTGGGCTCAATCCCCAGTGGGGGGCGTGCAGGAGACAGCCGATCGGTGATTCTCTCTCATCATTGATGTTTCTATCTCTCTCCCTCTCCCATCCTCTCTGAGGTCAATAAAAAATATATATATTTTTAAAAAGTGATAGAGAACAAAGCTTCAGGAAGATCAAATGTTAGGTCATCAACAGGGCCTGGTCTGTTAGTGCCCAGAAACCCTGTAAAACGTTAAACCCCCGTCACAGGCACCAGGGCCCCACGCCGTTCCACTGCCTGGCTGTGCTTCAGCCCGACCTGCCTCAGAGCCCCTCGGCCGTACCTCCCTTCCCACCTCAGGCTTTTACCTGGAGGTTCTTCCCTGGCCCGGTACCTGGGCAGCTCCCTCTCATCCTTCAGGTCCTGAGTGTCCTGTGGTTAAAGTGTTCCCATGATCCTTTGTCACGGTGCCCTGCGCCCTGCTTCTTTCCTTCAGGACACTTCTGCGAGGCGCTCATCATTGTTCTGTTGCCTCTCCCCCCACGTGAGGTCAAGGGCCCTGTCTGTCTTACTCAGTGTCCTCCCCAGCTCCCAGCACAGACCAGGCCCATGGGAGGCTCTGGGACGTTGCTGAATAGACGAGTGAATGAGCAGAACTGAGCTAGCTAAGGGGCTCATTCCCGCACTGGGATACACCAGCCTCAGCGCGATTGAAGTCAGCCAACAAAAGGACAAATTAGTGTGTCATGGACACTCAGAATTGCTGTGAAAAGCCAGCTCTGGGAACTTCCTGTTGGGAAGGCCAGGTGGGCTGTGTGTCCTGTTTCTCACCCAGCTGCCACCCTCGGGTTCTCGCAAGTCGTCCTGCCCCCCCCCGCCCGGGCCAGGGCTCCCAGCAGGGTGTCACCTGGCAGTAGTGTGGTGATCCAATCGGGCGCTGTGGAAGACGAGCCAAACTTTTCATCCTTCTGGGCTCTGTCCATGAGATCACATTAAGATAATGATGCTGCAAACCAATGAAACTGTCAGCCTCGTGTCCGAGAGGACCTGAGCGAGGGCCCCGCAGCCCCGCGGAGGACTCCTGTCTTGAGGCTGTGTGCCAGGCCCGAGGGGTGCAGAATAATTGTAATTAACGGAGCTGGAGTCGGGTTGGCGTGAATTAGAGTTGAGCTTAAGCCCTGAAGTCGGTGACCCTGCGATTGCACTGAGCTTGGTGGCCAGGGACTAGCAGGAATGGGGAGCGGCTGCAGGTGGGCGTGGGGTTCCTTTTTGGGGGGATGAGGTGGAATTAGATGGTGATGCTGGTTGCACAACCTCATGAATATACTGGAAACCACTGAACTGTGTGCTTTAAAGGGATGGATTTCATGGCATGTGAATTCTATCTCAACTTTTTTAAAAATCCCTGAAGTTCGTGTGGGGAGGAAGACAGGGGAGGGGAAGCAACAGGAATGTCGGGGTCCCGAAGGACGATGGCAGAATGGGTGGGGAGGAGGCCTGGGCCACGTGCCCGGCGAGCCAGGAAAAATGGGAGACCACGGTCTGGTTGGGCAAAGAGCTAACATCTGTGACGCAGCTCTGAGGAATGAAATGACAAGAGGTGGGGTGGTGGCGGCAAAAATGGAGCATAAAACTGATCAGCCCTAACCGGTTTGGCTCAGTGGATAGAGTGTCAGCCTGCGAACTGAAGGGTCCCAGGTTCGATTCTGGTCAAGGGCATGTACCTCGGTTGCGGGCACATCCCCAGTAGGGGGTGTGCAGGAGGCAGCTGATTGATGTTTCTCTCTCATCGATGTTTCTAATTCTCTATCCCTCTCCCTTCCTCTCTGTAAAAAATCAATAAAATATATTTTTTTAAAAAACTGATCATCGGAGACATTAGAAAGGATCCATGGGATGTGGGGCTTCAGTCATCCAAGTGTTGG